AAATTTAAATATTTAATCTGGGCCGGTTCACCGGCCCAGACTGCCCGACTGTTAACAGTTGGCCTGACTGTTAACAGTCGGTTAACCGACTGCAGCGAGCCGGTGGACGGGAACGGCCGGAAATCGCCATTCCCGGCCACTGAGCTCCAAAAAATGGCAAAAAATCACATTTTTCACACTTCAGCATGCCCACAATTTAACTACTCATGCCTATGGATCTAATTTCAAGCAAAATTACTAAGGATGCTATACTATAAAAAAACCATTCGAACTGGAGAAAAGATCAGAAAACTAACTGGTTCTTTTATTTCCACTGTAGATGATGGTCGTTGACTGCGACGTTGGTGTAACTTCGATGGTTGGTCGGTCGGATTTCTGCACTGGTCGATCGGTCGGTGAGAGATAATTCAAACAGTTTAAAGGGTAAAATGGGCTTTTACTGTGAAATTTTTTTTTAACTTAATTTTTTTTTTAAGTCATTTAATGGGTCAAAGGCCAATGTCAATTTTTGCTACAGTGGAAAAGCCATTTTTGTGTATTTCCTCTTATATTATTCTCATTATTTCCAAAAATATATTTTTCACACTCTTTAATATAATTACAAATTCTTTAATTAAAATAATATTAAAATTTTTCTTTATTTTTTAACTATACATTTTTCATCAATCTATCATTCCAATTTACATTATGAACAAAAGAACAAAAATACAACGCTTATAAATAATTTAAAAATGATAATTTATACAATCTACACATTATTTTAAAAAACTAAAATAGAATCTTTTAAAATCTATTTTTTTAAACATTGGCCTTCTAAAAATAATAATTTACACTTAGTATGTCTCTTCAAAATGTTCTATGCATGATCGTAGATGACATATTGAACATATACCACAAGAGACTCATAGTTTAGAAACGTTCCTGGAATACAAATTATATAATTCTCTGACCCCATCAATTTTTATATAGTTTAATAATTCTTTTTGAATTATTAATATGATATCTTTTGCTTCTAAAATTAATTTTACTATTATTTTTATTTTTTAATGTTCAATAATATATTTTAAATATGATATTTAAAATAAAGTTGAAAAGAAAATTGCGATATTTCATATATTTCATGACAATTCATATATTAACATGTCATATTTTAAATTTTAAAATAGTATGAATTATACTAAAAAAAATTATAATTTTAATAAAAAAACATTTTATTTATAGAATAATATTTAATCAAATAATTATATGTACAATTAATAAATTAAAATACTAAAATTTAAAAAGCTTTTGGTTTTTAATTAATGATAAAAGTGTGTGTACCATTTTCTCCTAATAGTAATAAAAATTTAGGTTATCTCCAGCAATGCAACAAAAATTACACCATTTTGCAATAAATTTTGCACCAAACTAAAATTCATCTCCAACCATTACACCAAATGAACAGTTTTTAACTACATTCTTCCCTTTTTTTATTCTTTATAATTTATTTATTTGAAATATTATTTATTTAATTATTTTATAAATATATGAATTACTAAATAAATAATTACGTTAAATTACAAAAAAAAAATTAAATTCATTAATAAATATAAAAAAATAGTTCAATTAATAAAAACACTACAACAACGGAAATATTAAATCAATCCATCAGAAAACAGTACAATGCATTTCGAATTTGGATATTACGATATTACGAAGTCACAAAATTTTTGTAATTTAATTCTCGTAATTCATATATGTATCATTTTGTTTAAATAAAATTAGATTATCTTATCTATGTTGTTGTTTAATATATTTCGTGTTAATTTTAATAAATAATCGTGTTTGTTATATTTTAAATTTTTTTCTTCTTTTAATTAATTTATTAATCATTATTTCTTACATTTGAAATTTATTTTAAAAGTAAATAATAATAGTAATAATAATTTATTGCATTAAAAAATATATACAACAAATGACAAAACTACCCTTCATCAATTATTTGAAAAATGAGAAGAAAGGGGCAAAATAGACTTTCATCACTTGTATCATTTTGCACCGAAATGGTGTATGGTGTTGCATTGGAGCAACTTTGTATCAAAAAATGGTGCAATTTGGTGATTTGGGATTCACATTGAAGATACCCTTATAGTTGTTTGATATTAAAAATTAGGAATTAATTGTTTTAATGATCACTGAACTTCGGTTTATATTTTTTATTGGTCACTAAAATTTAAAATGTGGAGTTTTTGTCACTGAATTTAGATTCATATCTTCAATTGATTACTAAAATTTAAAATGTCGAATTTTGATCACTGAACTTTGAAAAAATGTCTTACGTTACTTACTGGCATAAATGTTTAATTTTAAAAAATATCGAGTTTACAGTGAGTATTGAATAATGTATAATATTTTCAAAGTTTGGTAGTCAAAATTTGACATTTTAAATTTTAACGAATAATAAAAGACATGGACTTAAATTTAATGATCAAAATTTAATATTTTAAACTTCTATGATCAATTAAAGATGCGAAACTAAGTTGAGTGATGATTGGAACGATTAATGCTAAAATTAGATTTTTGATAAATTTTAATAAAAAAAATTTGAAATGTGTGGTTGAAGAGTTGTGTGGGCAGCTCCGAAATTCTTCAGTCTTCTATCTGAACGAATAAGAAGAAGACGCGATTCTTCACTCAAATTCAGACCATTCATTTAATAGTTTTTAACCCACACCGATCTACATCCAAAGGACCACGTTCTTAATTCGTCGAAATATTTCTCGGACAGCTAAAACGGATTAGAAAAACCAGCAGATCACTTATAAACAGATTGCCATATGTATGAATTCCAAGTTTAGAATCGATATTTACTAGGGAGATGAGTGGAGGTCAGGGAGCGGTGCACCCAGTGGAGGCGCCGCCGCTGCAGACTGAGAGAGCGAACCTGCTGCTGCCTCGGAACAGGATGAAGGACCTCCAGGGTATGCCCGGGACTATAGGAGGCCTCTTCTTGCGATTCTCTCAGATGTTCTTCGCGGTCCTTGCTTTCTCGGTCATGGCCACCACCAGTGACTTTCCCTCTGTCACTGCCTTCTGGTAATTTCTCTTTTTTACACGCACACACACGTGATATTTATGTGTATAATTTCAGCAAATTGCTTTTAATTGTTTGTTAATATGAGACTTTAGCTGAATTGTTTATATTCAAGAATATTTATGAGTCTAGCTTGTCAAGCAAATTAAGAAAGAGTAAAGGCATAAAGGTAGATTCTCCATTCTATATTTCTATTACAATTACTTCTCTTTCTCACTCCATTCTTGGAAATAGCAAGGTAAGGAAAAAAGATAAATAACTCAAAAGAAAGTTGAAGTTGTTGTAAAAATGATTTAAATAAGTAATTGTAATAAATTTACGTATTCAAAACTATTTTTGGTGAATGAGAAATTGAGTCTAAATTAATCCTTTTGATAATGGTAAATTTGATGATGAAATTAGAAGTGAGTAATTGATTTTTATATCTCTCGTCATAGTGTTGACAAATGAATATAATCCACGAATGAGGCGTCGTCGCTCGAGGAAGTGTCATTAAATCATAAGATGATAGGTAGCTTTTTATTATATCTGAAAGACATCTTTTGAAAACACGTCCTTTCATGACAAATATCTCTCTAGCAATGGATGTCCTTTTTAAGATGTCACACTTGCCACGGAAGATAAACGTTTCAGAAGAGTCAAATTCTTTGCACAAAAGATGTATCTTTTGGGAGCACGTCTTTGAGAATAGCAGACGTTCTTTGAAAGCAAACATTTTGTAGTCTTATTTTATTTAATTGTGTTCGGTATATTTATTTTTTGGTAAATATCCAATATTACCAGTTCAGATTAAATCCCGATGGTATCTAGATCTGCTGTTGTTGTGAGTCTGTAACTCTTGTCAATGCCTCCTGAAAAAAAAAAAAATAGAGTTCAATGTAGAGGACTTCAAGAGGAAAATGTTGCCCACCTTTTCTTACTGTTATAAACTTGGCCTGGGTTCTATACAATGATGCCTTAACTTCAAATGATGGTGAAATGAGCAATCATATGAAGACAATTGTGGATGCATGAAAACACACTATTTTTCTATGCAAGAATTAATTCTCTAATCTAAACCATTTCTTGCTTTCTCTTAAGATATCTCTGGGTAAGACTTAATTAAAGGTTCAAATGACTTCAAGATAATGTAACAAGACCAGATCTTGTTTAGACTGAATAATATAACAGCTAGTAGACAACAAGCATTTGATTGACAACATATATATAGTCCAATATAGTCAGGAAAAGATATCTAATTATGATTGAGTTGTTAATGTGGAAACCTTGACTTGCTGCATCTTACATATTGTATTAGAAGGCTCCCTTTTCTCAATTGAGAACCATATGTTTTTTTTAGTAAAATAATTAGCTTCTGGTTGGTCTTACAATCACCCTAGCACTGAATTTCTATTATTTGCCTTTCCAGCTATCTTGTTGCTGCTGCTGGTTTGCAGAGCTTGTGGAGCCTTGCCCTTGCAATCGTTGACATATATGCTCTTCTTGTAGGACGTTGCCTGCAGAATTATCAAGTTGTTAGTTTATTTGCTATGGGTGACGGGGTAAGTCACGACTGGTTGCTATAACAAATTCAAATAATTTGACATAGCTCTCCTTGGTAAGGTGTTAGACTAGTGTTCCGTGGTGCTAGATTAGTCTATTTGAAACTTTTGCAAATTTAAGACTTGTGAGTTGATCTTAGAGGTGACTGCTAAAATATGTCAACATTGGCACACACTTCATTGACTAACGTAGTACTTTGCTGTCCTAGTGCGTTCATTTCCATGCTGGGTGTTATCTGATAATTTCTTTTTTGCACTTTGAGTGGAAAGGTTTGCCAAGTTTATGTTATATGATCTGGTTCTATGTAATATACCTGTTCTTGGATCTGTTAATTAATGCTGGCGTTGGTAATTTGTCTTTCATGAATTTTTTGTGATTATCTATTGTTCACCTTTGTGGTCTGGTAATCTGAGATGCTGTCTTAAATACTAGACTTAGTCATGTAAGTTATGCGACCTTCAGAAGTGTGAAGCCAGGAATATTCGTTTTTCTTGTTAGGGTGGGGGATGGAGAGTAGGGAGTGCAGCTGGTAAGACCAAAATTTGCAAAAAACCATATTGGAGATTTTTGTATTTTAGCAGGGAATATTTAATAGAAACTTGAACGAATAACATTCAACTGCACGTGTAGAAATGATTCAGGAAAATAAGACTGGCTTTGTCCCCAACTGATATTGGTCCAAGTTTTCAGTGAAGGGGATTTATTATCCAGGCTAGAGTGCAGTTCAAGTCAAGTGAAACGCGTAAAGATGGAAACATTTTTTGGGTGTTTATTGCTGATTTTATTTATTTCTATGAATTGACTAAACTTATGACTGGCACTGTGTTTATAAAGGGTAAATGAGTGATAGAGAAGTAGGTAGCACTTGTTGGTCCTAAATCAGAGAGGTACGATGCCCTCGTACCTCATAGGGCGTGCCGGAGGGAGAGGATAAGAGTCCACAGATCGCTGATGGAAGAGGCGGTACGTCTAATCACGGGACTGTCCCATGACTTTCCGGACCAACCAACCCTGGAACGCTCAAAGAGGAAAGGGCACCCCTTACTCCATTCGATTGGATGCCATGCCCCTAAAAAGACAGATTGCATTTGGAGAAAATGTAGGCCTTGTTAGCGGCACGAATAGACATCCACCAGGGTAGAGGGAAGGCTTTCTCAGGTGAGTGATCTTCCCTGATCACCAAAAGTAACGACCACCAAGATACGCATAGTAATTAAATCTTTTGATCACCCATTTAAGGTTAAGGAAAACCTTCTTTTGGGGCTTCTGTCTTACACAAGGAAGATTGGATTGCCTAAATGACATAAAAGAGCTGACGTCTGGAACTTGAGAAGAGGGACAAATGATGTTGTTGGTCATATTGAAAAAGGTTTTAATAAGTTTATGTTGTAAGGGTTTGTCTCTGTTCTCATAATCTCTTCCCGAACCAAACATGAATCTTTCGATTCATTTGGTTCTCACGCTCAATTACTTAGGGATAGGATGATCAAGCAAGGATGAAAAGCTACAAGTTCTGCTACTCCTATCCTGAGCGTTACCACACCTTGAGAACGAGATGACAGTGATTGTCCCAAGAAGCTACTTAATACATGTCGACATAGGACGTGATGGGATTATTGCCCAAAAAAAAAAAAAAAAAAAAAAACTTTAAACAAAATTATTTTGATTCAACCATCGATTTGTGTTTTAGTTTCAATCATTCTTATTTCGACCCTTTTGGTGACTTCGCTTCAAATCAAGGGCAATTAAATAAGAATAAGGGAATAAATTTCAACCAGAATCAACAAGTCTTCCTGTTGTTATTAGCTTCCGCTTCTTCTCCTTCATGACTCCCCTGGAAGCCTGTCTAGAATAAGCCCTTTTTTATATATAAGCCTTAGGAGATTTCGGATTCAATTCTTTCGAAGCTTCTTAGGGCAATCATTGTCTTCTTGTCGTCTAAGCATGGTAACGATCGGGTTTGCCTGCTTGGTATGCTTCTTCCATTCAAAAAGGCAGTTTCCTAATCTTATTGATAAATAGCGTCTTGGAAAGGCTTAATGAGCACATCTCCGGTACACTTATCTTACACCTTATTTCAACTTTCACATTCATTTGAGGAGCTTTTCTACCCGCAGAAGATCTTTTTTATCTTAATCAAATGATTGATGCATTCCTCAATTGCAGCAGGCAGACCGTAATACTTGATCTGGAAATGTATATGTCTACATACTAGATTTCTGCACGGATTTTCAGTATGTATATAGTGTATTTGTGTTTGATATTAGAATCAATACTCCCTCCTTCATGTCTCCATAATTTCTGTCTGTCCTATCATATATGAAAAGCTCAAACACGATATTAAACACAAGATACTAAGGATCGATTAATAACAGAAATTAAAACTTGCAGAAAAATAAAATTGAACACAAGAGAAATTTTTCGGCCGAAGCCCCAGACATAAAGACTCCTTATTCCTAGTTAGAATTAATTTCATTTTTTGTTTATTTTACAGAATAAACCTAAACTAAAACTGAACTAAATGAAGCGAAATCTACTGAAGTTCTGAACTTGTACTATAAAGAAGAATGAGGTAAATTGGATAAATATCCAGACTTTCTATTATTATATATATATAGAAAGGATCCTTTTCCTGACATAGTTGGAAGTTACTATAACTTCCAAAATTCATGGATTTTGGAAAAGGGGGAAGGCACTTTTTCAATATTCTTTGATTTCAAAGGGACATTATCAATCATTAAAAAATTGAATAAAAAATGAAGGAAAAGCCGGCTATCGGAATCGAACCGATGACCATCGCATTTGTTCAGTGACCCTTATAACACCTAATCCCCTGTTGAGCATCCATTCAAGAACGGATATTGCTCGGTTGTACTATAATGCCTTTAACTGGCAACGAAGGTTACAAACGTTTAGCCAATACCAGAATACAGTATAAGAGACTTATCTCTTCACAAAGAATCAACAGATCTGACTCGAATCACACAAGAAATTGTGGATCTGACTTCACGAAACCAGAACCCTAGTTCTCACAACTATTTCATATTTCATTTAAGAAATCACATGTATTTAAGACTAAACTCTCAAAGTATCATTTCGAATGAAATGTTCAAAATAATGGCAAATCAGAAAACCCTAACCACTCACAGAAGATGAACCCTCTCGAAAATGAAATGCCAGAAAAATATCTGAGGCCAAACGAAACGTCCAAGCGTATATATATCACCAAGACCAATTGACTTATCCAACGGTTTATGATGTGCCAAGTGTCAGCATCCAGTGTAAAGTTCACTTTGTAAATCGCATTTCCATAAAACGACTTTAGCTGAAAATTATAGGAGCACAAAGAATCGGGGTCAAGTCACAACAATCTCCACCTTGCTACCATAGTTTTCAGCTCATAGTGCAGCCAGGAGCATATCACATTCTCTTATTTCATACGCTCCAAAAGTACCTGAAAAAAATTACAATGTATCGATAGATAATATCTTCAGACAGTTTTTAAACTTGTTTAAAGGTATTATCTTGGTCCCCATATCAGAAGGATTAACCTGAGTAGCAACCTTCCCAATTTTCAAAATTCCTTTTGAAATTATATCCCTTATAAAATGATATTTAACATCTATGTATTTAGTTCTATCATGATACATAGGGTTTTTACTTAGATGTATGGCAATTTGGTTATCTGAATATAGAGTTGCATTTTCATCAACAAAACCATGTTCCTTTAGTAATCCACTTAGCCAAATTCCTTCTTTAAAGCATCAGAAGCAGCAATATATTCTGTTTCAGTAGATGATAAAGCTACAATCTTTTGAAGTTGAGATTTCCAACTAATCACGGTACCACATAAGGTAAAGAAATAGGATGAAGTTGATTTCCTATTATCCCTATTACCAGCAAAATCTGAATTAGTAAATCCCTTTAAAGTTACCCCTTCTTTATTCAACTTAAACATGAGACCACAGTTGGATGTCCCTTTTAAGTATTTTAAAAGCCATTTCAAAGCATTCCAATGTTCTTTCCCAGGATTACTCATAAATCTGCTAAGTATACTAATACTAAATGCAAGATCAGGTCTTGTGCATATTATCAAATACACTATAGATCCAATCACATTAGCATAAGGTACATTTGACATTCTATCATATTCTTCAACAGTTTTCGGGCAGAAATCAAAAGAAAGCTTGAAATGATTTGCTAAAGGTAAAGTAACAGATTTACAATCAAGCATATTAAACCTTCTTAAAATTTTATTCACATAATCATGTTGATTTAAGAACAATATATCTTTTTCTTTATCTCTAAAAAATTGCATACCAAGAATCTTTTTGGCAGCTCCTAAATCCTTCATATCAAATTCAGATTTAAGTTTCTGTTTAATAAACTTAATCTCAGATTTATCACAGCTGGCAAGTAACATATCATCTACATAGAGTACTGAGTATAAAGAGTTTTTACCTCCATTACCTCTGCAGTATAGGCATATGTCATAATTGCTTCTTTGAAAACCAAGTTTTAATACAAAGGTGCAAATTTTTTGTACCATTGCCGTGGGGCTTGTTTTAAACCATACAAAGATTTCTTTAAAAAATATACAACTTTTTCAGAATCACCTTTTATAAAGCCAACAGGTTGTTTCATATAAATTTTTTCGTATAAGTCACCATGCAAGAAGGCAGTTTTAACATCTAACTGATCCGGTTCCCATTTAAACTGAACAACAAGGGCAAGAATTCTTCTAATTGTGGTGTATTTAACAACAGGGGAAAAGATTTCATTGTAATCTACACCCTCTTTCGATGTAAACCCTTTGCAACTAATCTTGTTTTATATCTTACACTTTTGTTTCCTCCCTCTCCTTCTTTTATCTTGTAAATCCATTTACAATTAATCAACTTTTGATTCTTAGGTCTCTTTACCAATTCCCAAGTATTATTCTTAAGAAGAGATAACATTTCATCATTCATAGCTGCTATCCAATTTTTAGCATCTTTGCAATTAATGGCATCATCATAGGAGCTCGGTTCATTTTCAAATTGTTCTTGATAGATAAACAATGAAACAAAATTATCTCAATCAAATCTAGCAGGTATTCTAATTTGCCTTCTCTCCCTATCTCTAGTTAACTGATATTCATTTAAGGGAGAATTTGCAAAATCAATTTGTTCATCTGTATCAAATGATTGATTGTTTTCAGTTTCAGCAGTAATGCTATTTTCATTTTGATCAAGTTCAGTTGAGGTAGGAACATGAGAATCAATTTCACTATGAAGTTTCTCTACCTCAATCTGAACATCTTTTTCAGTCAGATTAGTTTCCTTTCCTTCTAAACATGGCATAATAGATTCATTGAATACATCTCTTCTAACAATTACTTTATAGCCCTTTTCATTGTAAAGCCATAACTTGTACCCTTTTACATTTTCACCATAGCCTAGAAAAACACACTTAAGTGATCTAGGTTCTAACTTTCCAATATTCTGATGGGCATAGGCAGCACATCCAAAAAAAATTAAGTGTGAATAATCAACAGGATTTCTAGACCATACAGATTCAGGAATATCATAATTCAGAGCACTTGTTGGAGTTCTATTAACTAAATATGCAGCAGTTTTTACTGCTTCACTCCAAAATAGTTTAGGTAAACCAGAACTCAAAAGCATACATTTCACTTTATTCAACAAAGTTCTATTCATCCTTTCAACTATATCATTTTGTTGAGGGGTATAAGTAACTGTTCTATGTCTTACTATGCCACATTCTTTGCAAAAATTATTGAATTCATAATTGCAAAATTCCAAACCATTGTCTGTTCTCAGGATCTTAATTTTGTTATCAGTTTGATTTTCAATCTGAATTTTCCATTCCTTGGAAATAGAAAAAGTTTCATCTTTTGATTTTAACAAGAAAATCGAAATTTTCCTTGAATAATCATCAATGATTAAATGTAATATTTAAAACCAGACAAAGTAGTAACTGAGGCTAGGCCCCACAAATCAGCATGCAAATACTCAAGTATTTGTTTAGACTTATGAATTCCAGGTAAGAAATGAAGTTTAACTTGCTTTCCTATCACACATTTTTCACAAATGCCAATTTCACCAAGATTTTGATTTCCAAAAACTCCTTTGTTTTGTAAAGCTTTTAAACTTTTCTTGTCAATATGGCCTAACCTTTCATGCTACAACTTTGCAAAGGTAAAGTTTTCAGTTAAAGCAGTAGCAGTCAAACCAAGTAAAGGTTTTGCTTCAAGAAAATAGAGACCATGTCTCTCAGGGGCACTAATGACCAAGTCATTTCCCCTAAGAATTTTCATATGTCCTTGACCCATTTTAATGTCAAACTTCATATCATCAAGCATTCCTAGATACACTAGATTTCTTTCTAAGTCTGGAACGTACCTTGTTCCTTTCAAATTTAGGACTTTTCCATTTTCTAACAACAGTTTTATGGTTCCTATTTTACTTCTTTTACAGGTCATATTATTTCTCATTATAACCTCCCCACCAGTTGTCTTTTCAAAGTCAAGAAAACTATTCTTGTTTGGGCATATGTGGAAGGAACACCCAGAGTCAAAGATTTATTCATTATTTAGCTTCTTTGCAACATTAACAAGGACTAATCCATCTTCAGTTTTATCCTTATTGAATACTAAGACAGCATTCCCACCCTTAACTTTCTTTTCTTTCAGCTCATTTTTATTTTTATAACAGTCTTTAATGAAATGACCCAGTTTCCTACAGTAGAAACATTTTTTCCCTTTAGCCTTGTTCTTGGATTTGGCTTTTTCATTCCCTTTGTTTTTATTCTCATTAAGGTTCTTAGAATGATAACTTAGTTTACTGAACCCTTTTCCTTTTGCCATAAGGGTGTCACCACTGTGATTATCCTTAGTTTCAGATTTGATTTCCAATGCTTTATTTCTTAAGGCATATATAATCACATCAGTAGTAAGTTCAACCCTTCCATATTAAGAGCAACCTTAATGTCTCTATATCTATCACTAATGGAGTTTAGCAGAACTACAGCTAACTGATCATTTGAAAGTTTTTCATCACAGTTGGTTAAGTCTTAGGTCAATTTTGTAAACTTATTCAAGTTATCATCTAAATCAATTGAAGGGTCCATTTTAAAAGAAAAGAGCTGCTTTAACAGATAGCATTTATTTGGGATAGTCTTAGTAACATACTGGGTTTCAAGTTTGGTCCAAAGTTCAGAAGCAGTTTTGGTTTCACCAATGGTTCGTATCACATTATCAGAAAGATACAAGAAAATGGTACTCCATGCAAATTCTTCAAGTTCAGTTTTCCTAACAGGATTCATATCTTAAGGCCAACTATCATCTAATGCCTTAGCACATCTCATTTGCGTAAGTATGGCTTTCATCTTTTGACTCCACATATTAAAATCAACTTTTCCATCAAATTGAGCAACTTCAAACTTAGCAGTAGCCATATCAATATAACACAGAGCGATTAAATACAAGGAACAATTTATTTCAAGTTTTGCGTAATAACAATTACAGCAATGTCACAAGTTTTAACACAGAAGGACAGGCAATCAAAAACAATATAAGGAATACAGTATTAGAGATCACAGAATTATGTTTCAGTGACTTCTCCTTCAAAGACCCTCCAAATACACACCCGTACTGGATTTATCTCAGATTCCCAAGACCTCGTAGGAGCCTTTGGACAAAGAATATTTTTCAGGGGGTTTTAGTGTATGGTAAGTCAAAGGGAAAAATCCAGAAATCGAATTTAGAAAAATAAATTTTTCAAAAGATTCAGAAAGATCTCAGCCAGCGAGTTGAAAAACTCGATATCCTTTTTCCTGCTTAAAAGCAGTTCCAAAAATTTTCAGATTTGAAACAGATCAATGCCTTCCTTCCAAGATCCAGGTATCTTGTCCCCAGTTTAGTGCTCTGATACCACTGAAAAGCCCAAACACGATATTGAATACAAGATACTAAGGATCAATTAATAACAGAAATTAAAACTTGCAAAAAAATAAAACTGAACACAGGAATTTCTCGGCCGAAGCCCCAGAGGTTCGGTGACCCTTTTAACACCGAGTCCCTTGTTGAGCATCCATTCAAGAACGGATATTGCTCGGTTGCACTATAATGCCTTAAACTGACAACGAAGGTTATAAACGTTTAACCAATACCTGAATACAGTATAAGAGACTTATCTCTTCACAAAGAATCAACACATCTGACTCGAATCACACAAGAAAGTGCAAATCTGACTTCACGAAACCAAAACCCTAGTTCTCACAACTATTTCAGATTCATTCAAGAAATCACATGTATTCAAGACTAAACTCTCAAAGTATCATTTCGAATGAGATGTTCAAAATAATGGCGAATCAGAAAACTCTAACCACTCACAGAAGATGAACCCTCTCGAAAATGAAAAGCCAGAAAAATATTTGAGGCCAAACAAAACATCCAAGCATATATATATCACCAAGACCAATTGACTTACCAACGGTTTATGATGTGCCAAGTGTCAGCATCCAGTGTGAAGTTCACTTTATAAATCACATTTCCATAAAACGACTTTAGCTGAAAATTATGGAAGCTCAAAGAACCTGGTTCGAGTCACAACAATATCTTGTATCAGCATCATTCATAATTGAACCGAAGCATGCTGATGCACTAATCCACATGCTTGCTCAGCTACAAGCATCTTCTTTTCTATGATACACGCTTTTAAATGGTTAGGATATATGACAAGTGTGCAAGAGTTTACAAGTAATATTTACTTCCCCCATCTTATGGTTTTCCCCATTTGCAAGTAACATGAACGCCACTAAGCCAGTTAATACATTTTCTCGACACTCTCAAATCAAAACTCTTGATTTTGTTGAAATCCGGAAGCACTATTGCTATTTGTCAATTGTCTGCGGTTTCCAAAGCATCAACTCTACTGTTTCTTCATGCAGAAGTACAATCTGATGTTAGTTGGTTCGTCGAGAAACGGAGTTCTTGCTTATTAAGATAGATATATTCTGTTGCAGGTCGCTTCTACCCTTACGTTTGCTGCAGCCTGTGCATGCGCTGGCATCACTGTTCTCATCCACAATGATCTCGGTGCATGTGATAGGAATCACTGCACAGAGTTTGAGACTGCTACAGCTATGGCCTTCATTAGCTGGTTTTGTGCATTACCATCGTTTCTGTTAAATTATTGGTCCTTGGCATCCCGATGAATTTCAAAATACATATTATCCAACGAATGAAGACGGTTATTGTAAGATTTATCTGAAGGCTTTGTGAATCCATGTAATTTCTTCTGCTTGTATTCGTCGAAATTGTAAGATGTATATAACTAAAGATTGATGTTGTCAAGTGTCGTCGTAACAGTGTAAATGTAACATTTTGTTTCCATGTGTGGAAGGTTTTCTTTTGGCGCATTCCATTGCTATTGCAGACACATCTCAATATCAGTTTCAGCATAGTATTGCTCAAACAATCTACACATTGTAATGGAGCTTTTTTAGCCCCCGTTTGGTACCCATTTTTTTAAAAATACATCTCTCTTCTTTTCAACCACACATTCTTTATTAAAATAATATTACATGTAAATAAAAAAAATTTCCTTATTTTTCAACCATGCACTTTCCATCAAGTTATTATTCTAAAATACATTTTTACATAAAAATAGCTCTCAAACGCCCTTACTTTCGAAGACAGCCAAACACGTGCTCATACATTAGACCAACAAGATCCAGATCAATGGCTTCGAGCTCTGCTTGCATTTTTTGCAAGTCAAAACAGGTTTTATATCTTCCATTAAAGGTCATTTGCTTTGCTTATTTTCCAGTTGTACATATTGTACTTGAACAGGTCTTATCATTCACTATGGTTTCTCTATCTTTGCTTTGATTTTTGTGAATGTACAGCGTAATATTTTTCCAACACATTCGATAAAATGACTAACCGACACCATATATTGATGATATTAAAATGGCTTACCGTATATTGGGGGTGTTACAATGGCTTCAGCACGATTCTTGACGAACATTTTTTTACAAATAATTTAACAAAAAATTGGAATCTAAAAACTTTCGGTTACAATGTTATAACTAAAACTGCTCGAGTATTCATGTAATACCCCAATTTTAATGATTATTTATTGTAATATTTAGTTACGCTTAGAACATGACTTTATAAGAACAATTTTTATTAGTTTGGGTCCTGGGGTGTTAAAGAGAATCTTTTGGGTTGGTTTAGTAATTTTTCGGGAGTTGAGGGACCAAAATTGCCTATAAAGTTATATAAAGCCCTCATAAAGTTACTAAACTAGCCCAAAAGACACCTTAAGATCCTAACAAACAAATCAAGGGGTATAGTGACATCTTTGCAGAGACATTGATTTATTTATTAAGTGTAATTTGCAACAGAAATAACATCAGAGGAAGATCCCATAAAAAAATAAAAAATAAAATAAAAAAATAAAATAAAAAGAAGAAGTAAACCTTAAAGAGATAATCCATCTACCATATAAAATGCTCCAGCAGGCTAAAGCAGCAGAATTTACATTGTAGACTCAAAAAATGAGCATAAAACAAACTTAACTAAAGAAAAAAATGCAAACACGGGGGCTTATACATTACAAAACTTATGAATTTTCATCAATCTTTTATATAACATCTCTTTTGTTTACCTGCCAAAATATCGCATCTCAATATCAGGGACGGCATGAACTTCTAGACGAAAGACCAGTTAACAAAAGAGAAGGCGAGACAGTGGAGAGTATTCTCCTCAGCAGCAAAGACTTTCCACACGATTGCTTGTTCGTACGAAATGTGGCGGCCCATTGTCGACATGCATATACCACCAGGCAAGTAAGCAAATCCCTGAGACATGTTATATAGCGTTGATTACATTAAATTTGCGGAAAAAGTAAAGGGGAGGTTTTTATTACATGAAATAGCTTGATCAAGTGGAAAAATCAAGAAATCGAATATAAAAGAGAAAATACAAAGAAATGAAAGGTTATCAGACTTCATTGATGTTTTGGTATCTGAACAAGAGAAATCTTTTGCTATCCAACAAGAGAGTTACACAATCATGGAATTACAAAGAATTTGAATTCAATACGGCATTGCGAGCATATTTGATTACGGATTGTCACGTGCATAAAAGAAACCAAAAATATTCAAACAGCAAAAAGAACAATATAGCCGCATAAAGTACCTGTTGCATTATCTTAGCGAATTCGGAAAACAATGCCTTGCGCCCAGCATCGTCAAATATCTTATCTAATGTAATATCTTGTAATGCCACTAGAGTAGTCTCCAGCATGTCAAGCCCAGCCTGGTTCGCGAATATGAAAACTGGCAGTGCCTGCTACACCAAACCCCACAGAAAAATAAAACAAAGTTTAATGAATATCTTTAGGGTCCGTTTGATTGGCTTCAATTTCATGGAAAATGTCACATCCGAGGATTTCATTTTCTAGTTTGGCTGTTTCATACGAAGGTGGAAAAGGAGTTCGAATTCGAAGGTACACACTTAAAGCATGTTTTTGGCCAATTGAGTGGAAATTGAATTCCTATAGTTTTGGTGGTTTTTTCTTTTCTAACTAACATGGAATTGGTTTCCACTTTTGCAATCAAACGGACCCTTAGTTCTTCACACAGATTAAGATTTTCCAACACTGCCCCAGTAATATAAATAACATTACCAAAGAATAAGCAAATAAATTCAGAACCATGATGATACCTTCAACGAGCAGCACAAAATGGCATCTTGGTGATGCCATAGTGTTTTCAATATTGATTCACCCTCTATAGCATCAGCCCTCACCAATTCGGTTCCCACATGGAAACTGCAAATGAGAAAATAAATGCTTAAGATAAATAAACAGAAAATCTGCTCCACTCCATCAACAAACCAACAAAAGAAATTTCACTTTTTTCTTTTTGAAGGGGTCAACCCAAAGTTTAACTTGTTAGAGAAGAAACGCATTTATTTACTTATATTTTGCCCTTCAACATGCCCTCTCATGTGCAAACCAAATTCATTTTTCTCACCCAATGCCTGACAAATCCACAATTTTTATAATTGGATAATTTGGATGGCCGTGAGATTTGAACTCAGGACGTTTGCCTGCTCGGATACAATGTTAAACTACCTTATCTAAAAGTTCAAGCTATTATAGAGTCGATAGATTTATTTATTTATATTTTGTCTCCAATCCAACAAGCTTGACCGTGATGGTGGCAATTCAATTTATTGAAGAGATCTGACAAGATTTTTCATGGGGAGAAAATGATAAGAGGTTTGCAACTTCAGAAAGTCGAAAAAAAATGAGCACAACTTACCTATAGCTCTGGCAGATCCAATGAGCTAGCGTAAGAGCTTCTGGAGAGCCTGGGGATAGCTTCGGTCCAAGTGTAGGGCTCAGTCCTGATGGGGATATGGCCATGGCAACCCTCTGCACAGAGGAAATCACGCTACGAACATACTGACGTGCCATTGCAGCAACATTGTCCTGTAAGTTGCTTTCAAATGGGAACTGGAAGGCAATAGTCAATACTGATCGTGCACTATAAGACGATGATGCATTTCCTGCACCATGGTTTGTTTCTGGGCCGACTTCGAGGCTAGATGTCAAATCTAGTGTTCTTTGTGCAGTCAATGTATCCTGTGAATCACCCTGAGAAAAAAATTCATTATTTATCCATACCAAACAAAAACTAAAACATAACAATTAGTTATGGACATGTAACTACTTATCATAAGCACGTTTGGATAAGCTTAGAAGACAGTAAAAGTTATTTTTGAGTAATAGAAAAAAAAAATTATATTTATAACTTGCTTATTTACTTATAAGTAAACTTTTTAAGCTTAGGAAAGCTGCATGCTCTATATCTGGAGCACCTTTGGGTTGGCTTATGAGCTTTATTTATAAGGAGAGAAACTAATGTGTCTTGATACTTATTCTCTCCTTTCAAGTAAGCTTCTAAGACAACCCAAACTTGCTCTTACCATCCATGTTTCTAACACAATTTTAAGTTGATGTGAGGTCATTTGTCTGAAAGATTGACAAGAAATAAGGCATTAAATTCTCACTAAAAACCAAGTTTTCACAGACAGCTAAAGTTACAAGGTAAATATTTGAGAGAGAGAGAGGGAACGAAGTATATGGAGAGTAATATTTTAACTCAACTGGTTTTGAATCGAGCGGAATAATGCGAAAACCAGAGGGCACTAGTGGTGCATCATCAGGAAACATCTCATCGATTGGAGCAAAAACGAGCTCAGAGCAGGCTCCCACTGCATTCTCGTCTACCCCGCTGCACATCTGCAGTTAAAATTAACTAGAAGTATAAACTTCTGTTTTGCGCCTAGTAGTTGCTGTATATTCTATTTATAAGACATTATACAGAACAATGCACCTGTAAAAGGTGAATGTCCCTTGAGATAAAAGCATCTTCTTGACCGAGAGAGTGCCCTTCCAGCCGAATCACTTCAAGCATCTGGAATACAATATTAAAAAGTGAGACAATTCTTGCTAGAGAGGGCAACGTGTATATTATTTAAATATTTTGGTCAACAAGCCCCCTCACGTGTAGTCCCTTTAAAGCCAAACATGTGCTAAATTTCATTAAACAGGTGGATTCGAGATTTGAAGCAAGACTTTGCATGCTTTGATACCATGTTGAACCACTAGATGTGAAAGCTTAAGTTATTAAAGAAGGCAACATGTATCTTCAAAATTTATTATTATTTATCAACACAACATTTTTATGGCAGCAGAACTTATGAAAACATTGTTCAAGTAAAAACTAAAATAAAGATCAGAAGGGAATTTCTGTTCTTAAACATCAAGCAAGAAGAATTAAAGTAACTGAATGCAGAGAAAGCAACTCCACTTGAATAAATACTTCAAAACTAAAAAGCAAAAAAGTAAATTCCTTTTATAATCAATGGAAATTTTTTGCCTCATCTCAGTCCTTTTCAGTCCCTTCCTTTATTGGGTAATATCTTGGGAAGCGAATTAAAATTCTTGCTGTGCCACAGAATAATATTTAGACAAATACATCAGTTCCTTCGCCACCAATGTAGAGCGTTGTATCCTGTTGAGTTATCTACAACAGTTTACACCAAACAAGCACCTACCTCTTCGTGTTCAATTGTATGACCAAGTGGCATGATAATTTGGCCTCCAGTAAACCTTGTAGGCCTCATTCCTGGATATGCATATGAGCTAGCTTTCAAAGACGTAGCAGAAAAGGCATCAACATTAAAGTCAGCCCACTCTGAACGGTGCTCCCTCAAAAACCGAACCAGAACTGCTGGAGGGACATTCTGTCAAGGAAGGACCAAAGCTAACCCATTAAACAGGATACTGAATTTCGGTTTATCATTCCATTCCAGATGGAGAATATTTCAATCACATCGTTGAAATAGTTATGATAGTCAAAGTTATAAGCAACTGTAACACAAGTTCCCTATTTATCTTCTAAAGAAGCCAGTCTAACATTACACTTGTCTGTAATATCAGCGAATGGACGCTATCAAATTAGAAAATAAAATCACCTGAAGTAGCATAGATGCTTTAGCACAAAGAACGCCTCCAATAAAGGAAAGGCTATTTGATCCAGTGCTCAGGTTTTTGGAGGAGTTGATGGCGACTACTACATCTTCAGCCCCGTCAGAGTTCAATAATGACCAGCCGTCATCATTAAAGCTGTTAATAGCATCATTAAAGCCTCTGCACAGGAGAAATACTATGTTAACAGCAACCTGTACAAAATTCTACTACAACAGAAAACACAAAAGATAGCTTTCATTATTTTGCATTACATGTCCCTAGATACAAATCAAAATATGCTCAGAATATAGTGGCAGCTACCTGCTTAATCTCT